CTGAATATTGCATAAAGATGATTTGTAAACTCATGAACTCAACTCACATTGATGGTCGTCACGATAGTATATTAAAGTTGTACCTTAATGTAATAATAGATAAGATGGTCATATATATATATATATATACAACACATAATCACATGTCATGCACACTTTAAACTAAGAGCCTTCGTCTAAGGTATACGATGTAACAAGAAGGTTTACTGGTTTAATCGTAAAGCTCTACAATAGGATATTTGTCTTGTACCCACCACAGGAATCGAACATCAAACTTCAATTCTTAGCACTAGAAGCCCTTAAGCTTACCACTGATCCACTGGGGAATGACATGAACAAAGGTGGTTATGTTATGTAATACTTCAAACATCGTATGAATTAATGGAAATTCACTACATACTTCTGGGGTGGTTTAAGTATAAATTAAATACGTTAGTTAAGCAAAAATCCCAAATATACTAATATATCCTTTCTGAATACCGTAAAAAAGTGAGTATAGAAGCCATCATCGTTTCTTTTCGCATAAAATACTATCTGATTTACGATCAATATACATTTTAATTACTGTGTGTCTGAAATGGTCTAAAATGCATCTTGAATAAATAAAACATTCACATGTAGCAGCTACAACAAAGGTTAACGTAACGGTCAACATTACCCGATCATGGTATTAAACATCTTTGGTTCAGTGCAATGTATGAAAATACAACACACTAAAGATATTCGTCTAGCCAAAGAAAAAAAAAGAGTAAAACGTATTTCTATTATATATATTCTAGATAAGTTTAGATACGTTTTAATAATTAGGTGGTCTTTATTTTACCATAAAAGGTGGGTAGTTATTGTTTGTATCCTGTAATTGCCTAATAAAGATTTTAATTCTGGAACTATTCCTTATTCGATATATAAAGCATATACTTAGTTTTTGTCAGTGTAGTGTCGCTGTTTTGAAAATCAATTTGCGACACAAAATTTCTACGGTCTGACCGACTATATCCACTGAAAGACTAGTGTGATCTAAGTTTTAACCAAGATTCTCTGAAGTTTCCTGCTGGATCAATGACTCAGTCTCTTATTATCTAACAATCACACAGGCCTTGTTTCGTTGCCTAGTGGGTGCTGAACATAGATCATCACTGTTGGCGTTTGTAACAATTGATATTGAAAAACCTATTTAGATAGTATGTTAACATTCAAAAACGTTTTAATAATTTTACGAATACAAATTAGATCACTAAGGGCTGTAGCAACGACTTTAGTTCGTGACTAAATATTAAAAATTCTGAAGTGTAGCCGGAAGAGTCGTAAATTGTAGTTACTAGCTCATCTGCAAAAAAAGGTTGGTATTGATCTCACACCTTTTGTATCTTACGTATGTGACAAGCTGTAGTATCTTGAGACAAATTCATTGACCTACCAACATCTGTACCAATGTTTAAATTTTTTGGTTCGATTCACCAAGTGTTTCTTATTACTTGGTGAAATAGCCTATATTATTAATAAGATGCATTTATGTATACCCTTTTTATTGTGATAACAAATTAAAGATAAGATATTCTTTGAGATGTTTTTTTTTATTTAATTTTTATAACAATCCGAACTTATTCTTCTTGGTTTCGTTCCTTTCACAACAAAGAATCGGCAGATCGTTTCTTTTGATTAATAAAAAAATCAATCCAGTAAAATCTCTTACTTTCTACAAAGTATTCCTAATATCAAGGTGTTCATTTCTCAGAAGACTATAGAACTGCCAAGGTGCGTTTGGTTGAAGAGATTTAAATTGTATTAACTGAATTTGTTATTTGTGGTTCCCCCCCAGTGGCACAGCGGTAT